TTTGAGCTCCGCCTTTTGCGTCTCTTTCCCCTTTTTTTGGTGTGCAAGGCTCTCCTTCGTCCCTTTCGGACCCAAGACTTTCCGAGCTTCTCCCTGCAATGTGCGATGAGCTCTCGAGACCGAGCTGATCTAACGTCCTTGGGACGGGGGCTCAGAGCTACAAGGAGCCTTCCCTAAACCCTAAAGGCCCTAAACCCTGAACCCTAAACCTTCTTCGGAAGCCAAGGCAGCGAGCCCGAAGCTAAAATTCCTGAGCCCTCGACGTCTCAGCAGGCTACGCTTTGGCGTTTGCCCCACAGCGGTCGTGTGAATTTTCTCGCGAGGTCCTCTTGCGCCCCAGTCCATAGATGGCTCCTTGAGCCTTCGTGCTGCCATCCCTGCCCTAAGGCTATGGCCTGTGGGGCCAAAGCCAGCCCTCAACATATGAGTCCTTAAAGTCTGAGGGCGAGAGACACTCTGTCCTGACCCCTAAACCCTATAGCAGCCTACACTCGAAACCTGTGAGCAGAGCTGCCTGGGCTCGTCTTGCTCGGCACTCTCAGATTCATCCTCCCCCATGCATCCGTCGCCTGAAGAACGGGCTAGGTGTGAGGGTGTGAGGGTTTTAAGCGGAGCTCGGGCAGGCTGCAAAGTCGAAGCCTTCCATCCGGCGACGAAGAGCGAAGAGGAGGCTCCAGGGGTTTCGGGAATCCCCCTGAATGCCCGGCTCCTGCCCAGCATCGATGGAGACCTCTGCAGCAACGTGGCACCGAAGCAGATCTGAGCCATCGCGTGGTCTTCTCTTCAGTGGGAGTGAGCCCAAAGATGGGTGCGTAGGGGCGGACCGACATGAGGCTGCGGGCGTAAGGCCCTCAACTCTCTTAGTTTTCCTGGGTTTTCTGGGGAGAGCCGGAGACTTCCGAAGAGTCCCTGAGAAGCTGCCTTTGAGGGGCGTTGCTCTTGCCTGCTACGCAGCCTCAGCCTGACAAACTAAGCGGGCCCTGGCCGCAACTCATCGGCGCTGTGGAGACGTAGGCCGCAGTATGAGCTCTCCAACAAGGCAGCGCGGGCCGACCCTGCCTGCCCTTGCGTCGTGCCCAAGATCCTAAGATGGGTGCTGCGTAGGGGCGGACCGACATGAAAGCTCTGTTGTCTGTTTCGTGCATCGAGGAGGAAGTCCCGAAGTTGGGCTTGAGTTGCTTGGGGAGCAGCCTCGGCTTGTCTACGGCTCTGGCCCCCGATCTTGACGTCGAAGTTTCCGCAGGGATCTTCATCACCCTCCGCCCAAAGAAGGAACTTCGATAGACGCAAGGAGCCGGCTTGGGCAGTGAAGGATGTTATGGGCACACTCCAAGGGGCACCTTGAGCAGGGAGTTTCGTTGATTCCTTCATCCAGGGCTAAGAAACAAGCCAAGGCCAAGGCCTGTCGTAGCTTTCTGGTTGCATTCCCTAAACCCTAAACCCTAAGCCCTATTCATCGTCCGACGGGGAGAGCTTGAGACTCGATTGAGTCTTGGCAGAGTAGCTTGCACATCTGACTCTGAAGTTGCGAGCTCGAGACAGTCGATGGTGGGACACGCGCTCCACTGCAGGCCATGTGTAGAGCTCGAGGCAACAACTTGCAGACATGTGCGGGTCAGTTGGCATCACTAGTTCACAGACTAAGAGAAGCTAGTGTGCCTCTAAAGCGTTCCCTTCCCAAAGTTGCTGTTTTTGCTAGAGATCATGGCGCCAATCCTTCCTGCTCCAGGCATGTGAACTCACCACACAAAAGCCCGTCCATGTCTTGCCAAAGACTAAGCGTGCTGACATGCCTTTTGCAGTTGCTGCGTGTCCCTAACAGATCACAATGGAGTCATTTAAACTGGAGGTGACGCGTTCATCTCAAAGACAACCCAGAACTTTGTATGCTAGACGCCTGACGCCGAATGAAGGCCGGAAGCTTTGTGATACCGTGATACCTCCTGCTTGAAGATGGCCGTGTTCCGTTGCAAGAAGGTGAGCCGCAATGGCACTGCGTGGAGCATGCAGTCTCTGGTCGACACTCCTGTGACCTCCGCCGATGCATACGGTTGGGGCATAGGGTGTGGCAGGGCCAACGGGCTTCATGCTGTAATGCGTGCAGCGGGTCGGGTCCGGTGATGTCAGGGTCCTGAGCACAACCTGTTCGGGGATTGGTCGATATTGGGACAGGCGCTGTTGCGTTCACTTGCATTCGCCGGTTGATGCAGCTGTGGAAAGTTGTGCGACGGGCGTCTGCGCACATGACGGGCTACGTTGCAGTGGCTGAGCGCCTTTCGACAACATGGACGGAAGCCCACCTACAAAAGCTGTTCCGACATGTGCTGTCAAAGGTCCGGTTTCTTGCTGACGTGCCTTTTGCAGTTGCTGCGTGTCCCTACCCAGCAGAACACAATTAAGCAGGAGGTGACGCGACCTTCATGTCAAAGACAACCCAGAACTTTGCATGCCAGATGCCTGACGCCCAATGAAGGCCGGAAGCTTTGTGATACCGTGATACCTCCTG